TGTCCCTTTTTTTTTTTTTTTAAAGGTTACTTTTACAGCAATGTCCCCCTCATCTGCAACCCATTTTATGTCTTAGACCCTCTACTAACAAGCTGAATCTGGTGCATTTATTTAGGGAGAAAGTCCTCCAAAAAGTTGGGTTTGGAACCATTAGTTAACACTGTCCACTTTACTTTTACTTTTTACTTTTAGTCATTTAGCAGACGCTGAGCCAAACACACATGCTAAAATAACAACAACTTACTGACACATAGCAAGAAATGGTTATAAAAAAACTGAAACAGAAGTGAAACAAGTAGTAGGAAAGAGAAATAAAAAGCAATACTTATCGTTGCATCTTTAACCTAGATGAAAATGCAACATACTGTAATCAGGGGACTCATCCAGGATAGAGTAAATATGCTGTTTAGACTATTAAATATGCCTGAAAGCATAAAGAAAGAAATTGAAAAATACCTTGTCAACACATTCAGAAAAAAAGCACTCTTATCTGGTGTTATGAAGTGTGGTGCATATTCAATCAGGGTATTTATGAGATACATTATGTTCTGAGAAACAAAATAATCTGAGGACAAAATGTTCAAAGCTCACATGAAAGCAGCACAGGTTTGGCTTCTGTTAGCTTCACTAAATGAAAACTAGGCCTTGATTCCAACAAAAGACGCAAGTCGCACACAAACACTTGCTCCCAAACTGCGTGGCAGTAAACTAACCCTATTGCAAATCCGGCGTCAGTAAATCCTGCACTGATTGGGAGATGTGGTTAAACTACTGTATTATTTTAATGAGCGAACTGGGATACAGGGACATGCTGATTTATCCAACTGAACATGACATAACTTTTTTGGCATGGTGGATTCATCTGTTTCAGGTCTGGAAGTCATAAGACGATCTGCAGCCCAAACTCTGGCTAACTGTTTATGTGACTGTTATGCCAAAAAGGGAAAGAAAAATAATCTGTCAGCACATATGGAAAACAATTCCTTTTCAAGAGGAAATGCATGAAAAATGAGACAGATGAGAGCACCATCAAACTGACAAACCGCAACCACACATTATGAATCTAAATCTCTTGAGCTGTTCTTTATATTAGGAACATTGCCTAAGAACACTAAAAAGACCTTTGTCTTTTAACCAAAGCCTGAAAAGAAAATGAATCACAAATAGAAGGTTGTCTCCCCGAGTCTCTGAATATTCACTGTTTCAGGACACTGAACATAAAAAAGCTCTGGATTTTACCTTTATATTGGAGAACCAGAGGTCATTTTCATGAAGTGTAGACACATAGATGCAGCACAGCAAGCCCAGACTAACTCCCACTATTGATCCGGTCATTACACACAAGATTGTCCACCATGAGAAACCACCTGGAGAGAATGACAACAATATTACTCTGACCATAATGTAAAACAATAAACATGATAAACAAGGAAGAGGCATGCACACAGATCTACTGTATGGTTAATATTATATGACTATTTATGTATAATATTTTATACTTTATTTTTATTATACATAAAAAAATAATGTATAAAAATCTGTTTTGAATTTTACACGTGATCAATCGTTAATACTTTTTCATGTTGATATTCATATCTCAAGGTTCTGGCCTGATCTTAAAGTGATACTTCACCCAAAAATAAAAAATTAATTACTCATGATGTCCCAGGTTTATGTGACTTTTTTTCAGATGAACACAAATAAAGTTTTTTAGAAAAATAATCCATCTCTGTGAGTCCATATAATACCCCAAAAGTTAATGCTTCAAAAACAACATAAAGCAATTACGACGGTAATCCATATAATATTTCTTCTGAAGCAACGTGATAAGTGTGAGAAAAATAACTGTTATACCCATGTTCATAAGTTCATGCTTGCAAGTTGTGAAACATCATGTGTACTCATACAACAAGGGACCCTTTTTACAAACTGTGATCATGCGTTTCAGCGGTCATCAACATCGTAAATCCTGCAAAGTTTTTTTTTTTTTTTAAATGTATGTACATTTTAAACACTACACTTTGTATTATGTTACATTTGCATCAAAATTCAATATATATATATATATATACACTGTATATGAGGGTGTTTCTAATGCAGTGGCATTGGAAGTGACAGTAAATTTGATATTGTTCTCTCTTCTGACTGCCGTAATCAATCTCTCTCTATTCTTTCCCCTTTTTTTATACAGTTGTGAAAACCCTATTGTGGAGTTTTTCTTTTACTATTTGAGTAAATGGTAATGCAAAAAAAAACTATGATGTAATCTTCCATTCTCCGCTCCAGAAGTTTATCAAACTATGATGACTTCCGCTTCTGAGAAACCTGGAAATGTGAAAAGAATCCAGTGACAGTCCTTTGTGTGCTTCCATGTACTTCCTTACAGCACACTTCACAACATGCTGACATTTTTGGGTGAATCATGCCTTTAAATGCATCTGCTTTTGCAACAAACAGCACTGACCTGTTGCAAACCTCTGTCTGGGTTCAGCTATACAATCAGGCTTCAGGTTCTGAATGCTGGGCCCCGGGTCCTTCCCTCTACTGCCCTTCCTCTGCCTGAGGGCAGTCATAGTGGAAAAACAGGTTTCCAGTCCTGGTGAAATATATGTTCAATAATAATGACAAAAGCCAAGTTTAATATACTATAAAGCCATTGCCATCTCTCTCTCTCTCTCTCTCTATATATATATATATGTGTGTGTGTGTGTGTAAATCTATAATAAAATGATAATTAATGTCAGGACTATATATATATATATATATATATATATATATATATATATATATACACACACACACACACACATA